AACTGGAGGATGTCATTATGTCAGCTTCTACTATTATAACCCTAGCAGATTTCTTTAATAACTTATTAAGTTTCTTTATTCCACTTTCATTACAACTACCCCATATATTGCAATATAAAATAAATGATACGTATATGCATAGGTAAATACTTTCTTATCTTTTGTAATAAGTTGATTCTATTTGATATTGTATATGACATTTTATCTATTTGCTCATTCCAATTTAAGTTATTGTCGATATATAAACCAAGAAGTTTTTCATAATCTACAGTCTCTAATTGTTCATCTGATATATTGATATCTAAACTGTTCCCAGTTGAATAAAGCCTCTGTTTTGAACCAATAATCATTGATTTACATTTTTTGGCATTTAGTTTCATACAATTTCCCAAACACCAGTTTTCAATTATGTTAATATCATTTTGAAGGTTAGCATTTAACTCATGTACATTATAATCTTTACTATGCAAAGTAAAGTAGAATCATCTGCATATAAATCTATTAATGAATTTTCTGTGTTCAGTGGTAAATCAGTGGCGATGCTTATAATCCTGATAATTATAGACCAATAGCAGTTTTACCTTGTCTCTCCAAAATCATATATCGCTGATAGTTTGTATATATATATATAAATAGTAATGACCTTCTTAATACTACACAGCCAGGCTTCAGTGCTTAACATTCGTACACTACTGCACTTACTAAATTAGTAGATGAATGGTTAACAAATATAGATAATGGAGAAATAAAAGGAGTTATATAGCGGGGCCTCGGTGGCCGAGTGGTCTACTTAGTTCATCTACTGTATCACTAGCCTATCAATACTGAGGTTGTGAGTTTGAACTCTGCACGTGGCAGGTGCGTTCGACTCCAATTTTAATTGACTGGATTTTGTCAGTTTTTCTGCCGATGGTCGGTGGTTCTCTCCGGATTCCTCCACTAATAAAAATTGACCACCACGATATAGCCAATAGTGCTGAAAGAAGCGTTGAACACCAACAATCAATCAATCAATCTTAAAATCTAAAGTCGATGTTAACTGTAAACTATGCTTCGCCTGAATACCGTTCAATGCATTTTTATTTACAGAAAGTCCTTACTTAAATCTTGTGTCGATTCTGTTATGATAAATCAGCGCAGTATTTATAACCCATTTCTTATACGTCTAATATAATACCATTTAAAATATTAATGGACTGATTTGTTCTTTTTGAAACAGGGATATCGTCCACTAATTTTAATGAATTCGATGGATGTATGCATTTCATTATATATATTAAAAACTACTTAATAATTTGGAAGCATATACGTTGCTTATCATGACGAAAAGCAATCGTTATTGTTATTTCTATATTTATTTAGTTTCTATATATGGCTACATATGATGTCAGAAGAATTGTCTATTTTTTCGACGCAGTCGATAATAGTTTTTAATATTCGAATATATCGAATATAATTATAAATTAACTGATTATAAAACTTAAAATTTTTCGAAATACTAAGGATTTTCTAGCTCAGGAATTATTATAACTTACCCTAGCTGTATTTGACAAAACATTTCGTAATTTTGGGTCCTCAATGCTCTTTAACTTCGTAGTTTATTTAGCCTTTTTGACTTGGTAACAGTGTGGGTGTTGTAGCTAATCTGTTTTCTGAACATCCGTTTGTTTAATATCTTGTTATGTATAGCAGGTGATAGTTTTAAATGTAGATATCTGAAATAAAACGGCGTTTTACGTTTCCGCAAATTGGCATTACTTTTTCCGGGAAAAAAAGATGACGTTTCCGCAAAAAAAGTCTACGTTTCCGGAAATAAATACCTTACTTTTCCGAGAAAATAGTAACGATTCCGGAAAAAATAAATTATTACTTTTTTCGAGAAAATAAGTAAGGAGTACCTTATCTGGACCCCTGCTGTTGTTTCAAATCAGCGGGTGGCCAGTTAAAGAAGTACTTTGAACTTTGTCCTGAATGAAACCTGCAACAACTGATTGTAGCAGCATGAAACTTTTGTAACAGCAGTATGCATTGCACATTCAAAGTCAATATGATCTACCTCGGACTGGAGAGTTAGTCTTCGGGAAGTGCACACATCAATAAGCAGATCCCACATTTTGATAAAAGTGGAAGTAGCGCAAACACAAGAGGAATGTAGTTACCATTTTACACCCATGTATTGAATAATTAACTGTGCCATCTATGAAAATATTAGTTATTTCATTGCATAGACGATCATAAACATTTCAAGTTGGGGAAACATAAAAATATAACAATTCCAACATCATCATCTTTCACTAAGGTGAAACTTTCATTTTTTTATATCTAGTATATTGTAGATATAAGATCGGAACCTTTTTTGTATAAAAATATGAAATAAATAATTTATCTAACATATATTCAAATATTAATAATTTACTACCAGGTAAATTTCCGGAAAAGTAATAAATACAATTTCTGGAAACGTATACTTTAAGTTTCCGGAAACGTAGTATTGGAACTTTGAAAAATTAGCGGAAATGCAATACGCCCAAATAAAAACTGTCCTTATATCAATGGAAAAAAGAATAGAGGCCTGGGGGCATAGTAATATGATACTGCTATTGTTAAATCGCAAAGATAAAGTTAAAAAGGGGAAACATAAGTAAAAATGATTAATAGATTGAGAAAATTTGCTTTAAATGAATTAGAAATTAAAAACGTGGAAAAGGTTGGGGAGGGGGTGTTCCATCCACAAAGCGCTTGTGATCGCGATCATCGATCATTTCTACACAGTAGTACCGGTTGTACAGGTACATTTTTGTTTTAAATTTAAAATCGAATTTCTATAAGCTTACATGCAATAAATGTCTTTCATTGAATCTTTTCAAGAGAAATTTCAATATCCAAATTAATCATCCCCGTGGTACATGCAAGTGCAGTACAAAATTGATAGTCATAATTAAGAAACGATATTATGAATATTTCAGGGTACAAAATATAATACATGAAATAACGGGTGTCAAAAAATATATATCACATTTAATTATCTGCCAAAAGATGTGTTAAAACTCATCTCCCTTCGGCGTCTGTCCGTTATCGCGCCGAAAGGGTTTGCGTCTCTTATTGCTAAAGTTATGTTTGTTTGGTTATCATTGACATTTCTTCCCTGTTCTAAAACCGTTTTTAGTTCAAGTTGTTATGTGTTACATTGTATATATTTTGATTTTTCTTAATTTTACAGGCACTTGTCGCTGTCGAAAATACTCGACATACTTTGGTATATATGTATATTTGTACGAGCCAAGTGCGTGTGCTCAATTTTTAGAATTGTCAGACTTTTGGCGTCAAGTATAGGTCATTTAGAAATGATCAAAGAGAAATTAAAGTTTTAAAATATTGCTCCCATCTGAAGAAAATACTTGTAATCAATATGCCTAAAGGAGAAGTCCAGTAAGGGCGAATTTTGGCCCAAAATTTGAAGAACATTTGATGAAAGATTTTTGATATTTTTTTTAAACATTTAAGTGTCTACTTCAGTCGATTCAATTAGTTTATGTAAAAGATTTGAACTGAATTGGCCATTAAAAACGCCCAAATTCAAGCTTAAATATGAAAAATCTATCATATATGCCATCAAACGTCACTTTTCAGATGATTTTGTCTAAAATGGCCGCATTCGTGTTCAGTCTCAACCTTTATATATGTTATGTATTATCATCAAATATACAACATATATTTTAATATTAAGACTGAACACAAGTGCGGTCACTTCCATTTTAGACAAAAAGCGTCTAAATATTAGCACAAATGCTAAAATTATGAAGATTTCAGTAATTTTGCATGAATTAATGATGCTAATACCTGATGCAATGTGCATTGTATTGTCAAAAAACAGCCCATATTTATGTAACAGAAGTATTCTACTTTCTAATAAATAGCTAAACGATTTAATTTTTAACAATTTGTAAAAATGCTATATTTTTGGGCCTTGGGGTCTTACTGGGCCTACTACTTTTGACAAATGAGTCAATGAGAATTAAAAAAAAAGCCAGAAATACGTCTCATATTTTAACATTGGTAGAAGCACGAAGCTTTTTTTGTTGATTCAAACACACACTAGTCTCTGTTTTTATGACTCACAAGAAAGATATTTCACTTGACCCATATGTTTCATTTTTTGGTACTGTGAATTTTTAATGTTATTATATCAACATGTAGCCTAAATATATAAACATTATATAATCTGAACAAAGATGATGTATCAAATATTTTTGCTTTATAAAAAAAAGAAGATGTGGAATGATTGCCAATGAGATAACTCTCCACCAGAGACCAAATGACGTAGAAGGTTAGCAACTATAGGTCACCATACGGCCTTCGACAATGAGCAAAACCCTAACCGCATAGCAAGCTTTAAAAAGCCACAAAATGACAAATGTTAAACAATTCAAACGACAAAACTAACGGCCTAACTTGTGTACAAAACAGTAAACGAAAAACAAATATGATATTCAACAACAGACGATAACCACTGAGTTACAGGCTCCTAGACAGGCACATAAAGAATGTGGCGAGGTTATACATGTATGCGAGCCGCAAACCCTCTTACACGTTTTCAAGACAAAACAGTCATCTCGAACATGTCTGCTTAAATGTTGATAAAGGATCTTTTCAATATGAACACTTTGTTCTTAATTTGGCCATATCATCAGCGCTTAACCAGTAGTAGACGTGAGGTATACGTAAATGAAACAGTAAAACAAGATGTCTCATCTAGGTTTTTCTCGACTTTTTGAAAATGTCGGTGCAAAATTTTATTATTATATATGATTCGATTTTAACGAACTGAATGTTTCAGCTACAAAATCCATATTGCTATTACTGAAAAAATATTTGCTGATCCATAAATTTTTGTTAGGTATTTTGCATATTTATCTTAATCTGAATTTATTTAACACTTTATATTTCCTTATGAGATTTTATAACATAAAGTATATGCACTGTTTTTTGTCTTTTTACAGTAACCATAGATACACAGATGGCTAGATTTGTTTTATCAAAAGTGTCGATTATAATAGGAACAACTGTATGTATCCTTATCGTTGTCATATATCATAACAGGCAGGCGAACAGGCGAAAATACTATACATTGGAACAAAGTTTAAAAATTCCAGGAAATGAAAATGACATATCCTACTCACAAGCTCGACAGGACAAAACTGTATTCGAAATATTTCCAATGGAACATGGTTTTTTCATTGAAATGGGTGCGTTCGATGGGCAGCGTTGGTCAAATACGTTATGGTTAGAAAGAAAGCATGGATGGACCGGGCTATTGATTGAAGCAGATCCAGATCTTTGTGATAAAATAGACAAGTTACATCGACAAGTTTGGCGACTTTGTGGTTGTATATCAGAACAACAGAGTGCCACATTTATACAAGGCTCTGCTCTTGGTGGCATAGCAGATCATTTAAATAAAAACCAATTAAACCAACTGAGCCAATGGTACAAGGTTACTGTACCATGCTATAAGCTTCAAACGGTTTTAGATAAACTAAATACTTACCACATAAACTATTTCTCGCTTGACGTAGAAGGAGCAGAACTTATCGTTTTAGAAACAATTAAGGAATCATTAAAAGCAGGTGACATAACTGTTGATATATGGACCATCGAATATAGAGTTTGGGACGGTGATAAAATAGTTTTTAAAGATTCAATGAAAAATCTTGTGGGACTCAGAAATTATTTCAAAGAAATAGGTGGCTATGTAGAGCATTCTCAGCTGTCCAACGACGAAATTATCAAAGATGGTTTGTCGCTTGACGTTGTATTTGTTAACATTAAAACATGGTGTGACAAATATGGGAAATTGCCGAATGGGGGAGAATGTTCATGAAAGATTAACAAAACGTAACATGATGCTTATCAGTTAGTTTTAATATTTAAAATAATAGGGATGCTAAAAGTTGTAAAATTTTAGTAATGAAGGAACTGGAGTGATGGAAAATGCTGTTACTATATTTTATAGTTAAACGAACGTTTTTCACTGTAAATGACTTGGACTACGATAGTGACACGTACATTACTAATTATATTAATGTGATGAACTACACAAATGAAAGTCTTCAGACTAATGTATGACGTATACATTAGTTTTCTGGTATTCCACTCCTGTTTTTTTTCAACTGACAATTAAGTTTTCATTTTTTGTGTCCTCTCTTGAATCCACTTTGAAAAAACAATAAAGCGATGTCGTTTCTCTGAAAACATGTATGTTGAACTTTATACTGACCAGCCTTAACAAAAATTCTCCTGTGTTGAAATTCAGTATTACTAAATTATATACATACATATATGTATATAAAAGTGTAACAAAAACACAGAACTCCAAGGTAAATTCAAAAAGGAGAAGTCCATAAAAAACTGAAAAAATCAAATGTTAGATTTATAAACCAACGGAACGAATGGAAAACAACTGTCATATTTCTGACTTGGTACATGTATTTTCTAAAGATAATGGTGTGTTAAACTTGGATTTATAGCTAGCGAATCCTCCCACTTGTATGACATTTGTTTATAGTCCGTTATGTTGACAAAATTGGATGAGCAACTCAAACACAAATAATAGGTTAATGCGACAATAATTGGGTTGATTGGTTGTTGGTTGCTTAACGTCCAGTGGAAAATATTTCATGCATGTTCAGGACGAGAAAAAATTAACAATACAATAGGTAGGTCATAAGATAGAGACCGTCTTGGATGAAGGTCTGGGTAATTTAGAATGCCACTGGAAAATGACGGTAGATTAGATACAGATAGAAATTTAGCATTGCAACTGGCCACCTACGGACCTCTCAAGAGTTGTTGCATGGGTTCTGAACGTCTACACGATGCATCGGCTTTAGTGCCCCTATTCTGACAGGACGTGGCTGCAAACTTGTACATCCTGCACAGCCAAAGAGACGCCCACTTTGGCAAGGATTTAATGCCGGTCGGAAGAAGACTAAGAGTGATCATATATCTATTCAATAATTTGGATCCAACAGCCAAAACTGTGTAAACATACATCACAGACATACAACACAACTGACTAAAAAATAAAAAAAAAAAACATATAAATAAATTTAACAGAGACGCCAACAAAAAAAGTTTTTGCAGTTGATAGTAAATTTTAGAAAGACCCCAACAAAATTGTGTTGCAGTTGTTGGTACATACATGGTATTCACTTGCTCGATAAAGTACAAATTAAGTAAAATATAAAGACAAGGGTAAACAAATGTAAACAACTTTGTAAAAACATCTTCCGTCCGAATCTCACCCATGGACCAACCTGCAACAGGAACACCAAAAGCCAAAACTAAATACCGGGTAACGTCAAGATCCATACGACTAAAAGGAACATAATATCACAACGACACATAAAGGGAAAACTGTAAAGTAAATAAAAAGATACACAACTCCAGCACATCTATAAGTCGAGACGATATTGTTTTATTTGTGAAGTAGACACTGGATATTTATCTATTAGGTCTTTGTACTTTCGGATGAACTTTTTGAGAAAAAGGACGAAACGCTCTTTGACAAAACCCTGGCTCGTCAATTATTTGCTCAGACACCGATGACGTTCTACAAATTCTGAGTAGCAGCCGCAAGCTGTTAAATATCGTATGAAATGAGAAATGTATACTCCATACGCGGCTGACATTTGTATATTACTGCTAAGGTGAGGAAAATTTATAATTTCAAAATTGAAATCTTCTCGTTTGTCATAGATACCGGTACTGAAATTACCGCTGTAGTCAAATTCGAGTTATATGTACAGTTTAGAATTTGGGCGGAAAAGCTTTATTTGTGGTTTCTTTAAGCTTTAGTTCAGAACGATATATTAATTGGACCAAATCAGAAAAGTTTGAATTGTTAATGGAAAGAACATCATCAATGTACCTGTATGTAAAAGAAGATGACCTATAACTTCTACAATCTTCATATTTTTAACAATTGTCTGAAGGAACTCCGACTGATATGCAAATAAGAAAAGGTCAGCCAAGACAGGTGCACAGTTGGTTCCCATAGGTATGCCGACAACTTGCTGGAAAATTCTACCCCAAATTCAAAATATGTTGTCAATGAAGAACTCCAGCTTACTGTTCGCTTGTTCTTCGTGAAGAATGTTTTATTTTTTCAAATGGCATAGTGGTGTTATTTATTCTTCTTATAAGTGACTAATAAATAAGGTTGATATATAATACATGTCTCAAGGTACTTTGATAACTAATAATTAATCTCCTACACACTTAAATATGATATACATTTTGTAATTAAGACTGTAAATATGTATTTGTTTGTGTGTGCTAATAAGTACCATATATTTTTCACATTAGTTCTACTACTTGGAATACAGTTGTTAATTTAGGATTGATACCATGTACATGTAATATGGTGAAAGCTTTTATAGGCTGTGCCTGTTGCTCAATCCTTTTCATATCTTAATATATGTTTAAAATCAAATGGTGGTGTAAAGGGTGTATATTATATGCTTCGGACAAACGAAATTTATTGAGTGTTACTTTCATTCACTACCACTGTGTCGAGACCACTGCTGATGTACTGTTAGTCCCCGAGGGTATCATCAGCTCAGTAGTTAGGGTTTTAGTGCTGACACGATTAATAACATACATATACACATTTCCTGTGATAGATCATCAAAGTATTATTCCTCCATGGATAGGTTAAGCAATCATTAGTGTGACGTCCATTTTCACTGAACTAGTACACAATTTTATGTAGGGGCCAGCTGAGGACCACCTCCGGGTGCGGGATTTTCTCGCTGCGTTGAAGACCCATTGGTGGCCTTCGGCTGTTGTCTGGTCTTTGGTCGGGTTGTTGTCTCTAAGACATATTCCCTATTTCCATTCTCAATTTTATTAAGAAACTTAAGTTCCAACTCCCCCAGGCAATGTTGTCGTAGATAAATTTGGCTATTCTGTTTAAGTCTCTATTCATCATATTGTTGGTAAAGTTTCTACAGATTTATACATCTCTTGTTTTCAAATGTTTATAATATGTTTTTGCGTTCCTATTGAACATTAATTTGAAAAGATCTTCCGACACAAACAAGTGTTATATGTTATTTTCATTTATATAGAAAACCATATAAATCATTTGTGTTTTTCTTGTATACTCTCGATTTTAATTGTGTTTATATTTTATTTTTTCTGACAATGCACTTTGTACGTATGTACAACAGTGTATAAGAACCAGATAAACAGGTTAAAGTTTATTCAAACAAAAAAGTTTGATATGAAAATAAACTCATCACATATACCAGGATTGAAATTATGTACGCCAGACAAAAGACTCATCAGTGACGCTCGAATCAATACACACTGAAATATGTAACAAGTTTAAATACAAGAAATCAATGCCATATAACTTCAATAAATTGAGAATGTATAAGAACATCCTATCTAAACCATCTTTAACAACTGTCTAAATAGTAATAAAAAAACGGAAAAAACCTCGACACAAGGATATCAAGATTAAAAATTGAAAAAAACCTTAAAGATTTGAAGATAGAAAAAATGCATATGGTGAGTTTTTAAAAGACATTTGCCTAGTGAATTATTCCCCGAGGGCATCATTGACTTGGTAACTAAATGCATGATGAATACAAAGAACAAACCTGGCTAGGACGTCGCCCGGGTTACGAAGGTCCTCTTCTGCTACACGGAACACTGTAGCATTTGGTTTGTGTTTTGCTCACAAATTATTGTCAATATAATTGAATTATATGCGATTGCCATACAAGTGAGAGGTTTAAATCCATCATTTTCTACATAAGGAATGCCTGTACCAAGTTAGGAATATGACAATTGTTTTCCATTCGTTTGATGTGTTTGAGATTTTGATTTTGCCATTTGATAAGGGACTTTCCGTTTTTAATTTTCCTTGGAGTTCGGTATTTTTGTTATTTTACTTTTTATTGGCCTCGTGTCACAGACATTTGGTTGACCAATTGTTTATTACTACGTTCTGTTTCAATACTAAAAGTATTTTTGTTGCTTGATTTCTTATTTAAAGTTACTTTAATTTGAACATTCCTCATACGTAATATTGTAATATCTTAATGGATTGTTATTTGAAATAAATTTCCCCTAAAATGTCTCACTAACAGTTATATAACAGACTTTCAGTTGTTTCCGATCGCATTATTACAGTGAATGTTGTTTGTGTCTCTTTTCTACCCATAAGATTCGGTCACATATCGGACTTATTTCAAATGCAAAAGAGGCCGTTTTTTCTTCTTGTGTGTTTAGATTCTTCACAATTTTACGCCTCAGAGAATTTTGTAACTTAACGACACCGTTTAACAAATTACAGATGATATAAATTTACTGGTTCTTGAATAGCTACTGGTTCATTTTGAACAAATGAAAGATAGGCGTAGAATAGAATCGAAGAAGAATAGAATAGAATAGAAGATTTTATTTTAAAGTCGGGTTTATATTACAAACTTAAGCTGTGTAGAGTTTTTTTGCCGACATTAATTACAATAACAACACATTCAATTTTAAGACAGAAAAAGCACACACATGAGACATACAAAATAAGACAGATGTATTGCATGAGCAAAATATTCGTATATAAAAGCATTACACAAGCAAGCAAAGCAATAAAACTAAACTATAAGCAAGCAAAGCAGAAATAAATAAAGCAAAACTAGTTACTATAAGCTATATGGAAACAACTCAACATCAAATGAAATTATTAAGATCTGCAGGATCCACATCTGTATGAGTTGCCATTCCAGTTGTTAATCATACTTTTAAACTGGTTAAGGTTCGTCTGCGCATGGATCGCGCCAGTCAACTCATTCCATTCATTGGAGTGTAGCTCCGTGTGGTTCTCACCTATGGTTCTTCGTTTGTTACTTTCTAAAAGAGTAAGGTATATTTTAAGAACTAATAATATAATGGAGATACACTGGTGACTCTATGTGTAACATTTTAAAAGTGTCTATGGGCATCATTCGTAGGCGTCTTATTTTTAAAGAAGATAAACCATGCAGACTTAAAAACAAAAGAGGTGCATAAACACTACTATAATCCTCATAATGAACCCCAAGTCATGTTTTTGTATGGTTTCCATTCTTTTTTTTATTAAATATTACCCGCCCCACAAAAATGCCAAATCACAGGACAATAATTAAAATTAGACATACTATATGAGTAATAAATAGTAAACCATCCCAATTTCGATCGATGTA